GGGTGAACTGTTAACTCGGGAATCACAGAAAGATATTGACCCTTCAGTGTTTCGAATTCAGCTTTTATGCGCTGGTACGTGAAATTTTTAAATGTTTTTCAATGTTTGAACTATTTTTGCATAGACTAAAGCATAAAGCAGTGAAAATCATTAATAAGCAATCGTTCGATGGGCTGAATTACACAAAACGCATAATCGCAACGGCTAGTCTGGTGCGCGTTGCTATTTATTTTTTCCCGGTGCTGCGAAGGTTTTTACCGTGTTTATCGTGATCTCATGGAGAAGTGGTAAGCGATTCGGAGGGTTTATGGTCCTTCTTAGCGGCGTGATTCAGTTAGGACCACTACGGGTGATAAATCAGTTTGAAAAATTCGTTGGCCACTAATCATCCTGATTGACGGTGTAGTTTTGCAGCATTGCTGAGATGCAGTGATGCAGCAGCGAAATCTTTTTCACCTTTTTTTTGCCTTGTAAAGAATTGTATGTCTTTAGTTTTAGAAATCGTCTTCTGAGTGTTTGTTTTCTTTTGTGTGGGTTTTCCTCAGTGGTTTTTGTCCCTCGAAATAGATTTCAGTAGAAACCGCCGTGAGAAGTAGTTCCAGTGGATGGGAATTCGGAAAAAATTGTGACTTGAATAATTTGGGCAACGATTTAATCGTATTTTTCTGTAGAGCGCATACACCGATGGTAAACAGGCGAAATACCGTGTTGCCGATATGAACAACACTGTGGTGATAGCAGGCGGTAATGAAGCATTACTTGAATACGAAGAAGATGATGAGCCCGAATATAAGGTTTGTCCCTGATATCGGAGTTGTTGAAGTATTCATTCTGACTTTTTATCTTTTTGCTTTGAATACTGAAACGTTACTAGTTCACAATTGATTTATAATTGGCCAGCGTACCGACTACCGGTGTAAAGATGCGTTTTTTGCTCGTTTCCCGCATGTTTTTATCGCTAACGGCGCTGTTTTTTTTTTCGGCAGACGTTTCTAGGTAAAAGAATTAATTCTGACCACCACGACTGTCAGAAAACGCCTCCTTAAAATTTCACCTTTGTAGCTTCTCTTGTTCCCGATTTAGCAGCTTTCTCGCCAAAAACTTTCGCTGGCCTATACATGGCAGCCACGTGGGTAAGAGCGTCCATTTTGGGGATGGGGGCCTGTGCATGCGTGTAGATTAACTCCCCAAAGTTTCAGTCTTGTAGCTTGTGTGGGTCTCGAGATGAAAACTCGGTACAGACGTACACGCAGACAACCCCGCCGCAAAATATCTTTTGCATTGCATAGGTACAAAAAACGCTAATAATCGGGGAGTTTTTCTGAGGAGTATTTCTAATAATCGGGGAGTTTTTCTGGTTTGGATGCGATGAGGCCAAGACCGATGGCATAACTATCGGCTACACCATTTATGATCTTATTTGTTTGACTTATAGAAATAAAAATAGTTCTAAAGTTCATCAGTTCTTATCAAAAGTCGGGAGCCAAAACCCTTCCATGTCTGCCTTATGGAAGACGGGGCAATTCGAAAGTAGTCTAAAAGTAGAGCATCTTCTGACAAGGCTAATGTTGGCTTTTTTTTTCTTAACTCTCCTCAGAAATTGGTGGTGGTTTTGGCTTCCCTAGCATAACACTGGCTTTCGTCTTCTTCGATGCGGAGTATGC